CGAAACTACCATCAAACTCTTATTTTGCATTTATGAGATTCATCTTATCTTTTCTTTATTTTTTTTTATCATTGTTTAGAGAGTATAACATTATTTTTTCCGCGAGCTATATTGTTACATACCTAACATGAATTTAATCTGTTAAAATTGAACTTCAAATCCAACACTACGTTTAAATTTTAATTTTGAAAGTCTATATAATACCAATAATGTATAAATGATTAAATCTTCAATTAAATTATGCCTCGCTTTATAAATCAATTAAAACCTAACAAAACAGTGATCGAATATTTCCGTGCCCAGGAAAATGGCCTAGTTTGGTCCCGTTCCCTGTATAAAAGGTTCACAGATTTCGCACCCAAAATACTTAAATTGCAAATCTAGCTGGATTTCTTATAATTTAATTTTACACTGTTAATTTAAATTTATAAGTTATTTATTTGACGTTGTTTTTACATTTGAAGTTGACACATACTTTCTCAGCGCCACAAGCTCATCACGTAGGGTCTTATTCATCAAAATCAAAAACTATTTCAGTCATACCAAATATTTTCTTTTGTTCTTTTCTCAAAAGGTATAATTTTAGATTGACCCCATATATTTGACGATGATGTAAATCACCTACCAACACTTTTGTTTTCTCCAAAAAGATATCCACCCAACCCAACCATTTTCTTATGATTCAATCACACGCCGACATTAGTAAAGTAGTAAACTTGTAAATACATTTTTAGTTGAGTTTATTGTCCTCAAGAAATTCAGTTGAGTATTAAAAATAATTGTTCGCAACAATTTAGTATTTTTCGTTCACCGAAAATATGAGCTAAAAAACCATATATGCGGTAGGTTTAACATAGCTCTATTAGTCGTTGTAGCAATTTGAAAGACGTCGCACTTCAGAAATCAGGATTCGAAATTCTGTTTGGGAACTATTTTAACTTTGCTCGAGAGATGTATGTGTTTCAACACAAAAATCCTTAATTAAACAAAACAAATATGAGCGAAAAGTATGAAACATTTAACAATATGAAATACTGAAAAATACATTGAAATTCTATATGTATTCTATTATTGAATGCATAAATAAATACTTTGCATTACTAGTAGAATGCTCCACTTTAGAAAATGAAGTTGAATATAATATAGTATATAATGAATATGACAAATTTTTAATTGGTTTTGAGTTGGAAGTCGTAAATTCATAAGATAAGATGTACAATTAGAGTTTTCATATTACAGAATTAAGATCACAAACTAAATGTGTATATATGAAATAATTCCATAATTTTGCATATTTTAATGTTAGCAATTATCTGCTAGATATATCATATGTATATAGGCATGTCAAACGAGCTAGCCCGGCCCGACCCGGCCCAAAACCCGTAAAGCCCGCCTATATATAAGCCCGGCCCGAAAAATATTCGGGCCTATTTTTCAAAGCCCGGCCCGGCCCGAACAGGGCTACAGGGCTTTATGGGCTTTTTCGT